TGTTTGTTAGCATTATAAATGGACTGCACCTTTATTAAATTGTTTCAGTGTTCCTTTACATAGCAAAGCCTGCTAATATTTAAAATACATTTTTAAGAAATTTTCTTCAGAGAACTTTCATCTTCAGCTGTGAGGTAAATTATATTATTTGGGAAGCACTCTTAGCTGACTTTTGAAGGATATCTGATATATTTGCTGTGCTGTTTTCTATTTAGTGCTTGAAGGAATGTCTGTGGTACTAGGAGAAATTGAACAGCCTCTGCAATTATTCATAAGCTTCTCTTCCAGAACATAAGCTAACATAGGTGAAAAATGATACATAGTTTTTCCACATTAGCAAAAATTCTTCTTATCTCAAAACTAATGTTTCTTTAACCATTACCCAATACTTTGGCTAAGCAATAGATCATACTGTTAATAGGAATATAAAATTGAATACTAAGAAATGCTTTTCAAACAGAAGACATTTTCCTTTTCCCTGCTTACTATGTACCTAGAGAACATATTGCACTAAAAAACACATCAATACAAAATTCAAATGTGCTTTGTGACAAATATTATTTAAAACAATGTCATGAATAAATATCTACGATCTAAGATTTTAGCCCCAGTGAATAATGAGAACTCTTGGGTCAAAATTTGATGTAACTGAAACCAGTAAATTGAAAAATGTTGTTTCTTTAGAATCAATTAAGATTGTTGTATCAAATAATATGAAAAAACTAATGTGAATAGTAAATAACAATACAAAAGTATGAAGTGTGTATTTTAATTTCTGTTAAGAAAAGTCCTTCCTTATATTCATTCTGTTTTTTGACAACTCTAAACATTGGTAAGTCCTTCTCTTTGTTGGGCTGAAATCTGTCCCATTAGGCAGGTAGTGTGCCTGGGACATATGGAAAGGGCTCAATCAGTAACTTAGTAAATGAATTTGTGCTTCCCTGTCTTTATACTATTTCAGTTTTCTGGGATGCTGGAAACGTGTTGCTGAGTTCCTATCAGATACACTTTTATGTGAAAGTTTTTGAAATATTTGGTGACTTAGAAATTACACTCTAATCCTTCTAGTCAAATTTTAGGAACTTAGTTAATTGGTCCACATGATGTATTCTATACCATAACAAATTGCCAGCATTTGACTGTTTTTGACAAAAATGATAATTTTGTATGATTTAGCCTAATATTTCAACTCTAGGATTATTTAAAACAGTTGAGAACAGGGCAAACTAGAAAGGGCCAAAACTCGGTTTTGATAGGGAAGTTGAGAAAAGATATACCTTTATGTAATTTATATGAGCTATAGGGTTGCTATGACTTGCAATCAACTTGATGGCAACGAGTTTGATTTTTTTGGTTTTTGGTATAACTTGATAAGTTAATTACAATAGTGTTATGAATACACTTTTATCGTTCCAAATACACACTTATACTGGACAGTTGTCTTTTATCTGTCCAACATCTAACCTCTTCTTTACCATCTCCCATGTCAGATACATTTGTCACAGAGTCCCTTACTGCTGGGGCAGGAGAACATGATCTTGGCTTTGTCCTAGTCTCGAATCAGAAGTTAGCGACTTGAAAAAAAGCGACTGTGCAGAATCCATTCTGGGCATAGACTGTGTCATCAGTTGTAACTATTACCAGTCTAAGGCAGCGGTAGCAGCAGTTCTAGCCCGTGTCCTTCGTCAGTGTTTTCAGTAATGCCAGCTGTGCTACCTTATGCTCTGTGGAAGAGGGGGTGGTGTCATTGGATCTGCTGTCCACTGTGACTTTGGACATCCTTCACTTCACAGCCTTCCAGCCTGATACTCTGGCCGTCCCAATATTCTTATATAAAATCTTTTCCTACTTAACTCAGCCAAAGTTGGCATCTGTTGCCTACAATTCAGAACCTGTGATTTCTTGGGATTTTAATCATATATTGCTTAATCTTCTTTATTACCATAGAAGAGGGAAGAAAACCTATTTGGTGGCAGTCACTAGCAGTGAAGCGTTTTTAGTTTATGCTCCAAATTCACAAACCATGATCGAAGTACCACATTTAGCACATGCTAGCTTTTAGTAAGGAGCCCTGGTGGCGCAGCGGTTGAGTGCTCGGCTGCTAACCAAAAGGTCAGTGGTTTGAACCCAGCAGCCACTGCACAGGAGGAAGATGACAGCCTTGGAAACCCGATGAGGCAGTCTTTCCTGTAGGGTCACTATAAGTCAGAATTGACTCGATGGCAATGGGTTTGGTTTTGGTTTGGAGCCTTTGGTAAGTATTGCAAAGATAAAACAACATTAAGAGTTTGAAAATGTGTAGGGATAATTTTGAGATATTAACCGAGTTTATATCTTTCTGCTTATATTTCCTTATACCCTTTGTTCTATGCCCAGCCTCCTCCCAGGCAGTGGCACCAGTGTTCTCAGAAGAGAGATAATACATCAGAAAAAGTAGAGAAAATATTTTGTAGTTTCAAAACTAAGTATAAAGCATCTCAAAAGATGCCATATGGTGATCCAAGGCCCAGATGCTACCTCCCTTATCTAAAACACTATAGCACTCCACTAGCTGCCTTGTCCTTCAACCAAAATAGTCTCAAGGAAAGAGAGGAGTACTTAGAATTGCTAGTGATTAAATTTCTTCCGCTAGGAAGACTTGTACATTCTAGTTGAAGTATATCAAAAACCCATTGCCGGTGAGTTGATTTCTGACTCATAGCACCCTATAGGACAGAGTAGGACTGCCCTATAGGGTTTTCTAGGCTGTAATCTTTATGGAGGCCGAGCAGCTGGTGGGTTTAAACCACCAACCTTTCAGTTAGTAGCTAAGCGCTTAACCACTTTGCCACCAGGTCTCCAATAGGTGAAGTATAAAAAACCAAACGCGTTACCATTGAGTCGATTCCGACTCATAGCAACCCTATAGTGACAGATGAGTAAAAAAAAAAAACGTTACTTGCACACATAAATCTCCCTTGCTTGAAAGTAATCTACATTGTAAAATAATTTGTTATTTTTTGGATTTGCATTTGTATAATTAAAGACAACTGTGTGTTACAGTAACATTTTTGTGTTGCTTTTATTTTCTTCAGAGACTGCAGAAAGGACATTTCAAGCAAAAGGCATCTTGGCAGGAGAGAGCAGAAGTTTTAAGCCTCATTTAACCTTCATGAAGTTGTCAAAAGCACCATGGCTCCGTAAGAAAGTGTGTTCACATTTTTGTTGTAAGCCTTGTTTTACCAGGCCACACCAGCCTTAAGCATGTCTGGGGCATGAATGACATTTGTGGTGGTTTTTGATGCCCTGTGACTATTGCTCCTGGGATTCCATGTCTCTTTGGTTCCAATTCCCCAGGATGTGGAGAGGCTCAGAATCCTCCACAGAGGCTATTACAGCTATGCCCTCTTTTACCACTATGGCTGTTAGCTGCATACTTTAACTATCATTTACTGCTACTTCTATCGCCACATCTGCTTTGTACCTTGAAAGCTTCGAGGTGGTGCCAGGGTTCTGTCTTGCTGCTTTCTTTGCTTTCGGTTGTTTGCAGCCTGCTGTTCTCAAAGCCTTCTCCACTGGCCTCCATATGCTGGTGCTGCTCACTGCATGGGTTCGTCAAGGTGGGAAGAGTTTTTCTACCTCTCCTCCCCCATTTTACTATAGCTTTTTCAAGCTCCCAGAAGACCACCTTGCTCTTTCAGCAGTTGCCTCCACTGAGGACTTGGAGCAAGTGTATCAGGGACTGGGCAAGAGGTATCTCCCCACTCCCAACCTGAGGCATACTCAAAAGTCCTTCTGTCTGAGAATGGTCAATAATGACACAAGCCAAGGGGCGTGTCTTTTGACTTCTATCTCAGGGTGATTTGCTGCCTACCCAAGATACCCGCTCCTTCCTCAGAGGTTGAAAGCAATTTTGACTTTCTTTGGATTCTGAGCTTTTCTCCTTGAATCCTCAGGGCACCCGTCTTTCTTTTTCCCCTTTCAGTCTAGGGAATTCCTCATGCAAATTGAGACATCTGATGACCTGCTCTGATATACCAGAGTTTTGGACATGGGCGTACAGACTAATATCCATTCCCTGCTTTCCATGACCCTTTGCTGAAGTTAAGACAGATTTGCAGCTTTATAAATGAAGGCCATGTTTATTAGTAAATAGATCTTTTTTTTCTTGGCACATTTTGTATTTAATTGTGCTCAGAAAGTCGTCTTGGTTCTTTAAAATATGGGCTTGGGTGCTTCATCATCCTGTAGTTATGAATTTTCTCCAAATTATTGTTAAAGATGTCCTCAAAAAGATATCTTGCATGTTTTTCTGATAACCATGCCATAAATTCAGTAATAACTGTATTAGGTACCATTGCAGCTAAAATTAAGTTGTGTATA